CCCCCTGAGCACTGCAACACTCACAGCTGCCACATGGTACTGGCAACACTCACAGCTGCACCTGAGTACTGGCAACTCTCACAGCTACCAATTGAGTATGGCTACACTCACAGCTGCCACCTGAGTCTGGCAACACTCACAGCTACACCTGAGCACTGCAACACTACAGTACACTGAGTACTGTATACACTCACAGCAACACCTGAGCCCATTGACAACACTCACAGCTACACTGGTACTAAAATATAAAAATAAAAAATGGCAACAATCACAGCTACACCTGAGCACTGACAACACTCACAGCTACACCTGAGCAGTGACAACACTCACAGCTACACCTGAGTACTGACAACACTCACAGCTTCACCTGAGTACTGACAACACTCACAGCTACACCTGAGTACTGGCAACACTCACCCCCCCCCACCAAAAAAAAAGGCTGCACCTGAGCAGTGAAGAACACTCACAAACTAAACCTGAGTACTGGACAACACTCACTGATACCACCTGCGTACTGGCAAAACTCACAGCTCACTGAGCAATGAGAACACTCACAGCTTAAAAATGGAGTACTGGCAACCTCACAGCTGCTCTGAGTACTGGGGCAACACTCACAGCTACAAACTGAGTACTGGACAACAATCACAGCTACACCGGAGTCTGACACTCTCACAGCTACAACTGAGTAACTGGCAACCACTCACAAGCTACTCCTGAGCAGTGAGAACAACTTCGAAGTCCTGGCTACACCTGAGTATGGCAACACTCTAAGCTACACTGAGCAGTGAGAACACTCAACAGTACCACCTGAGTACTGGTACACTCACAGCTACACCTGAGTACTGGCAACACTCACAGCTACACCTGAATACTGGCAAACACTCACAGCTACACCGGAGTTACTGACAACACTCACTGATACACCTGAGTTACTGGCAACACTCAACAGTACACCTGAGCAAGTGAGAACACTCACAGCTACACCTGACGTACTGGCAAACATCACAGCTACACCTGAGCACTGACAACACTCAACTGATGCACCTGAGCTACTGGCAACACTACACAGCTGAAACTGAGTAATGGCACACTCTCAGCTGCACACTGAGTACTGATAACACTCACAGCCTGCGCCCGGAGTACTGGCAACACTCACAGCTTGCACCTGAGTATCTGGCAACAATCACAGCTGCCACTGGAGTAATGGCAAACACTAACAGGTACTCCTGAGTACTGGCAACACTCACAGAACTGCACATGAGTACTGGCAACACTCACAGGCTGCCACCTGAAGTACTGGAAAACACTCACAGCTGCCACCTGAGTAAATGGCATACTCACAGCTACACTGATTCTTGCACACTCACAGCGCACCTGAGTACTGCAACCACTCAAGCTGCACCTGTGTATGGACAAACACTCACAGCTGCACATGTGTACTGGCAACACTCACAGCTGCACCTGTGCAGTGACAACACTCACTGCTACACCTGAGTACTGGCAACTCACCTCACAGCTTCACTGAGCAAGTGACAACACTAACAGCTACACTTGAGTACTGGCAACATCTCAGATTCACCTGAGTACTGGCAACACTACAGCTCACCTGAGCTATGACAACACTCACAGCTACACCTGAGTACTGGCAAACACTCACATGCTTTCAACTGAGTACTGGCAACACTCACAGCTTCACCTCGAGCATGACAAACACTCCGGCTTCACATGAGTACTGACACACTCACAGCTACAAACCTGGCCAACTGACAACACCACAGCTACACCTGAGCACTGACAACACTCACAGCTACAACTGAGTACTGGCTTCACTCACAGCTTCACCAGGGTACTTGCAACAATCCAGCTACACCTGAGTACTGACAAAACACTCAACTGCTACACCTGTCACTGAATCTCTCACAGCTACACCTGAGCACTGACAAAACTCTCAAAGCTACACCTGAGCTTGACAACCACTCTCAGCTTCACCTGAGCTCTGACATACAACTCACAAGCTACACCTGAGCACTGAAAAACACTCACAGCTACACCTGAGCAGTGAAAACACTCCACAGCTTCACCTGAGCTACTGACAACACTCACAGCTACACCTGAGCACTGACAACACTCACAGCTACACCTGAGCACTGACAACACTCACAGCTACACCTGAGCACTGACAACACTCACAGCTACACCTGAGCACTGACAACACTCACAGCTTCACCTGAGTACTGACAACACTCACAGCTACACCTGAGCACTGACTACACTCACAGCTATCACCTTGTGCCATGACAACACTCACAGCTACCACCTGAGACAGTGACAACACTCACAGCTCACCCTGAGCTGACAACACTCACTGCTACACACTGAGCTCTGACAAACACTCACAGCTTCACCTGAGCAGTGACAACACTCACAGCTACACCTGAGCACTGACAACACTCACAGCTTCACCTGAGTACTGACAACACTCACAGCTACGACTGAGTACTGGCAACACTGACAGTTACATCTGAGCACTGACAACACTCACATCTACACCTGAATACTGACAACACTCACAGTACGACTGAGTCACTGGAACAATCACAGCTTCACCTGAGTACTGGCAACATCACAGCTTCACCTGAGTACTGGAACACTCCCACCACAGATTACTTGAGAAAAACTGCAACACTCACAGCTACACCTGAGTACTGGCAACACTCACAGCTACGACTGAGTACTGGCAACAATCACAGCTTCACCTGAGTACTGGCAACACTCACAGCTTCACTTGAGCATCTGACAACACTCACAGCTACACCTGAGTACTGACAACACTCACAGCTACACCTGAGCACTGACAACACTCACAGCTACACCTGAGTACTGACAACACTCACAGCTACACCTGAGTACCGCCACCACCCACAGCTGCACCTGAGCACTGACAAAAACACTCACAGCTACAACTGAGTACTGGCAACAATCACAGCTTCACCTGAGTACTGACAACTCTACAGACACACTGAGTACTGACAACACTCACATGCTACACCTGAGTAACTGACAACACTCATAGCTACAACTGAGCACTGACAACACTCACAGACTACACTTGAGTACTGACAACACTCACATTACAAACTGAGTACCGCCACAGAACAAGCTTGCACCTGTGCACTGGACAACACTCATAGCTACACCTGATTACTAGCAACACTCACAGCTTCACTGAGTACTGGCAACACTCACAGCTACAATTGAGTACTGACAACACTCACATCTACACCTGAGTACCGCCACCACGAACAGCTGCACCTGAGCACTCGGACAACACTCATAGCTACACTGAGTACTGCACACTCACAGCTACACTCTGAGCATGGGACAACACTCACAGCTACAACTGAGTACTGGCCAAACACTACACAGCTACACCTGAGTTACTGACAACACTCACAGCTACACCCTGAGCACTGGCACACTCACAGCTACAAACTGAGTACTGACAACACTCAACAGCTAACACCTGTGTACTGAAAACACTCACAGCTACACTGAGCACTGAAAAACTCACAGCTACACTAGGTAATGACTAACACTCACAGCTACACCTGGTAATGACAACACTCCAGCTACACCTGAGCACTGGCACACTCCAGCTACACCTGAGCACTGACAACAATCCCAGCTACACTTGAGCACTGACAATCACTCCAGCTTCACCTGAGCAGTGAGAACATCTCACAGCTTCAACCTGACGTACTGGAACACTCACAGCTACACCTGAGTACTGGCAACACTCACAGCTTCACCTGAGCACTGACAACACTCACAGCTACACCTGAGCACTGACAACACTCACAGCTACACCTGGAGTACTGACTATACACTCTCAGCTACACCTGAGCATGACAAATCTCACAGCTACACCTGAGCTCTGACAAACACTCACAGCTACACCTGAAAGTATGACAAAAACTCACAGTTCAACCTGAGCACTGGCAACACTCACAGCTACACCTGAGCACTGACAACACTCACAGCTACACCTGAGCACTGACAACACTCACAGCTTCACCTGAGCAGTGAGAACACTCACAGCTACACCTGAGTACTGGCAACACTCACAGCTACACCTGAGTACTGACAACACTCACAGCTTCACCTGAGCACTGACAACACTCACAGCTACACCTTGAGTACTGAAAACACTCATCTGCTAACACTGGCAGTGAGAACATCACAGTACACCTGAGTACTGCACAAAATCACAGCTACACCTGGTACTGGCTACATCACAGCTTCACATGAGCAGTGTGAAACACTCACAACTACCACCTGAGGCAGTGAGAACACTCAAGCTACACCTGAGTAATGAACACACTCACAGCTACAACTGAGTGACTGACAAACACTCTCAGCTTACACCTGAGCACTGGCAACATCACAGCTTCACCTGAGCAGTGAGAACCACAGTACACCTGGCACTGGCAAAACTCACAGCTTCACCTGAGTTATGACAACACTCACAGGCTTCACCTGAGCAGTGACACACTCTCAGCTGCACCTGAGGGGGGTGGGGTACTGACAACACTCACAGCTGCAACTGAGTTACTTGACCAACACTCACCAGCGCAACTGAGTACTGACAAACACTCACAGCTGCTCCTGAGTACTGACATCACTCACAGATAAACCTGAGCACTGGCAAACTACAGCTTCACCTGGTACTGTAACTACTCACCAGCTTCATCTCGCATGTCAAACAATCACAGCATTCACCGGCATTGACAACACTCTCAGCTCACCTGGTATGACAACAATAACAGCCTACAACTGAGCACTGGCAACACTCACAGCTGCACCTGAGTACTGCAACACTCTACAGCTTCTCCTGAGCAGTGACTACACTCACAGATGCACCTGAGCAGTGACAAACACTCACAGCTGCATCTGAGTACTGACAACACTCACAGCTACACCTGAGTAATGACAACACTCACCAGATTCAACCTGAGTACTGACACACTCACAGTCTTCACCTGAGCAATGGACAACACTCTCAGCTACCACCTGAGCAGTGGACACACTCACAGCTTTACACCTGCAGTAATGGACAAACACTCACAGCTTCACCTGAGTACTGACAACAACTCACAGCTAACACCTGAGCAGTGACAACACTCACAGCTGCACCTGGAGTACTGACAACACTCCACAGCTTCACTGAGTACTGACAACAATCACAGCTACACCTGCAGCAGAGAAAATGACTACACCACAGCTACACCTGAGTTACTGACAACCTCACAGCCTTCACCTGAGTACTGGACAACTCTCACAGCTACACCTGAGCAGTGGACAAACACCACAGTACACCTGCAGCAGTGACAAACACTCACAGCATCACCTGAGTACTGACAACCACTCACAGCTACACCTGAGCAGGTGAAACACTCACAGCTACACCTGAGTACTGGACAACATCACAGCTACACTGAGCAGTGACAACATCACAGCTACACCTGAGTACTGACAAAGCACTCACAGCTTCACACTTGAGTACGACAACACTCAAAAAGAGCTACACCTGTGCACTGCTCAACACTCCACAGCTACACCTGAGTTATGACAAAACACTCACAGCTACACACTGAGTACGGACAACACTCACTGGCTACAAATGAGTTACTGGACAACAACTCACAGCTACACCTGGAGTACTGACAACACTCACAGTACAACCTGGAGTACTGACAAACACTCACAGCTACACTGAGTACTGACAACACTCACAGCTACACCTGAGTACTGACAACACTCACAGCTTCACCTGAGTACTGACAACACTCCAGCTAACCTGAGTACTGACAACACTAACAGCTACACCTGAGTACTGGACAAACACTCACAGCTACACCAGTGCCTGGACAACACTCTCAGCTTCACCTGAGTACTGACATCACTACAGCTACACTGAGAACTGACAACACTAACAGCTACCACCTGAGTACTGACAACACTCACAGCGTCACCTGAGTCTGACAACCTCTCAGCTACAAACTGAGCACACTGACAACACTCACACACTTCACCTGAGTACTGACAACACTCACAGCTTCACCTGAGTACTGACAACACTCACAGCTACACCTGAGTACTGACAACACTCACAGCTTCACCTGAGTACTGACAACACTCACAGCTACACCTGAGTACTGACAACACTCACAAGCTACACCTGTGTACTGACAACACTCACAGCTTCAACCTGAGTACTGGCAACACTACACGCTTCACCTGAGTAACTGACAACACTCACAGGCTACACCTGAGTACTGCAACACTCCAGCTACACCTGAGTACTGACAACAATCACAGCTACTCCTGAGTACTGACAACACTAACAGCTACCATCCTGAGTCTGACAACACTCACAGCTACACTGAGTTCTGACAACACTCACAGTACACCTGAGATCTGACAATCACTCACAAGCTACACCTGAGCACTGACCCACACTCACAGCTTCACCTGAGTACTGACAACACTCCAACTGCCTACACCTGAGCTCTGACAACTATCACAGCTTATCCTGAGTACTGACAACACTCTCAGCTTCACTGAGTCTGACAACACTCACTGCTACAATGAGTACTGACAACACTCACAGCTACTCCTGAGTACTGACTACACTCACAGCTACAACTGTGTACTGACAACACTCACTGTACACCTGAGTACTGACAACAATACAGCTTCATACTGAGTAATGACAACACTCACGCTACAACGCAGTACTGACCAAACACTCTAGCTACACCTGAGTACTGACAAACACCACAGCTACACCTGAGTACTGGACAACAACTCACCGCTACTCCTGAGTACTGACAAACTCACAGCAACATGAGTACTGGACTACACTCACAGCTACACTGAGTACTGACAACCACTCAAGCCTCACTGAGTACTGAAACACTCACAGACTTTTTTTTTTATGTTTTTTTTTTCTTTTTGTTCTTTTTTCTTTTCACCTGTGTTACTGACAACACTCAAGCTTCACCTGAGTACTGGACACACTCACAGCTTAACCTGGTACTGACAACACTCACAGCTTCACCTGAGCACTGACACCCACTCACAGCTTCTACTGTGTACCCTGACAACACTCACAGCTTCACCCTGAGTCTACTGACAACACTCACTGCTTCTCACTGAGTACTGACAACACTTACAGCTTCACCTGAGTACTGTAAACCACTCACAGCTTCACCTGTAGTAATGACAACACTCACAGCTCACTGAGCTACTGACAACATCCAGCTACACCTGAGTACTGACAACACTCACAGCTTCACCTGAGTACTGACAACACTCACAGCTTCACCTGAGTACTGACAACACTCACAGCTTCACCTGAGTTCTGACAACATAACAGATTCACCTTGAGTACTGACAACACTCACAGCTTCACCTGAGTAATGGCAACACTCACAGCTACACCTGAGCAGTGACAACACTCACAGCTACACCTGAGCACTGACAAACCCACTCAACAGCTTCACCAAGTACTGACAACACTCACAGTACACTTGAGTACTGCAACACTCACAGATACACCTGAGTACTGGCTAACACTCACTGCTACACCTGAGCACTGACAACACTCACAGCTACCACCCTGAGCACTGACAAACACTCCACAGCTTCTCCTGAGCAGTGCAACACTCACAGCTTCACCCAAGTACTGTCAACACTCACAGCTACACCTGAGGAGTCAACCACTCTCAGCTACACCTGAGTACTGTGCACACTCCACAGCTACACCTGGAGCACTGACAAACACGCACAGCTACACTGAGCACTGACAACACTCCACAGCTACACTGAGCATGACAACAATCACAGCTACACATGAGCACTGGACAACAACTCACAGTACACCTGAGCACTGACTACCAATACTGCTACACTGAGCACTGACCCAAAACACTCACAAGCTACACCTGTAGCACACTGTCAACAACACAGCTCACTGAGCATGACACACTCACAGCTTCACCTGAGCACTGACAACACTCACAGCTTCACCTGAGCACTGACAACACTCACAGCTTCACCTGAGCACTGACAACACTCACAGCTTCACCTGAGCAGTGACAACACTCACAGCTACACCTGAGTACTGACAACACTCACAGCTACACCTGGAGTAACTGTAACTAACATCAACTGCTACACCTGAGTACTGGCAACACTTCACAGCTACTCCTGGAGCAAGTGATCAACAATCAACAGCTTCACTGTGCTCTGACTACACTCTACAGCTTAATTGAGCAGTGACTCACTCACTGCTTACACTGTCCGTACTGGCAACACTCACAGCTTTTACCACATGAGACAGTTGACACACCACTCACAGCTACACATGAGCACTGACACAACACTCACAGCTACACTTGAGAACTGACAACACTCACAAGCTACTCCTGGACTGACAACACTCACAGCTACACCTGAGACACTGACAACACTCACAGCTTCAATGAGCACTGACAACATCACAGTTCACTGAGCAGTGAAAACACTCAACAGCTTCACCTGAGCAGTTGGACAAAACTCAATAGCTTCACCTGTGCAGTGACAACACTCACAGCTACACCTGCAGCACTGACAACACTCACAGGCTTTCACATGAGCACTGACAACACTCACAGTTCACCTGTGCACTGGGACACATCAATAACAGCTTCACCTGAGCTCTGACAAACCTCACAGCTTCACCTGAGCAGTGTCAAACACTCACGCTACACCAAGTACTGACAACATCACAGCTACACCTGAGTACTGACAACTCGCACAGCTACACCTGAGTACTGGCAACACTCACAGCTACACCTGAGCACTGACAACACTCACAGCTACCCTGAGCACTGACAACACTTACCGTTAAAACTGAGTACTGACAACACTCACAGCCTACATCTGAGTAATGGCAACACTCACAGCTTCACCTGAGCAGTGACAACACTCACAGCTACACCTGAGTATTGGCAACACTCACAGCTTCACCTGAGTACTGACAACTCTCACAGCTACACCTGAGTACCGACAACACTCCAAGATACACCTGAGTACGGACAAACACATCATAGCTACACCTGAGCACTGACAACTCTCACAGTTACACTGAGTACTGGAAACCACTCACAGCTACACCTGAGTACTGACCAACACTCACAACTACAACTGTGCACTGTCTAAACACTCGCAGCTACATTGAGCAACTGACAACACTCACTGCTACAACTGAGTTTACTGGCAACACTCCCAGCTTCACCTGAGTATTGGCAAACACTCACAGCTTCACTGATTAATGGCCAACACTCACAGCTGCAACCTGAGTACTGACAACATCTCACAACTACCACTGACGCCACTGACAACACTCACAGCTACATGGAGCACTGACAACAATCACAACTACACCTGGCCTGACAACACTCACAGCTACAACTGTGTAATGGCAACACTACAGCTGCACCTGAGTACTGGCAAACACTCACAGCTACACTGTGTAATGATCAACACTCACAAACTACAACTGAGCACTGACAACACTCACAGCTCAACACCCCCTAGCTGGACAAACACCACAGCTGCACCTGAGCATTGACACACTCACAGCTTCACTGAGTACATGGCACAACTCACAGCTACACATGAGTACTGACTACACTCTCAGCTTTACACCCCTGAGTTACTGGCAATACACTCACAGCTACAACATGGAGTCCGCACCCCACCCACAGCTGCACTGAGTACTGGCATCACTCACAGCTGTCACATGTAGTACTCAGGCAACTCTAACAGCTTCAACCTGAGTACTGACAACACTCACAAGCTACACCTGAGTACTGGCAACACTCCACAGCTACAACCTGAGTATCCGCCACCACACCACAGCTGCTCCTGAGTATGGCAACACTCACAGCTACACCTGAGTACTGGCAATACACTCACAGCTACTCTGAGTTATCGGAACACACTCACAGCTACACTGAGTACTGGCAACACTCACAGATACAACTGAGTACCGCCACCACCACAGCTGCCACCTGAGTACTGGCACACTCACAAGCTACACCTGAGTAATGGCAACACTCACAGCTACACCTGAGTACCGACCACACCCACAGCTGCACCTAGAGTACTGGCAAACATCACAGCTGCACTGCGTACTGGCAAACTCTCACGCTACACCTGAGTAACCGCCACCACCCACAGCTGCACTGAGTACTGGCAACTCTCACAGCTGCACCTGAGTACTGGAACCTCACAGCTACACCTGAATACTGACAACACTCACAGCTACAATGAGCATGAACAACACTCACAGCTACACCTGAGTACTGACAACACTCACAGCTACAACTGAGCACTGACAACACTCACAGCTACACCTGAGTACTGACAACATCAACTCAGCTACACATGTGTTCTGGGACAACACTCACAGCTTACAACCTGTGTACTGAGCCAACACTCACAGCTACAACCTGAGTACTGTCAACACTCACAGCTACACCTTGAGTACTGACAACTCTCACAGCTACAACTTGAGCACTGACATCACTCACAGCTACACCTGAGTTATGACAACACACACAGCTACACCTGAGTATGAAACTCACTCAAAGCTACACCTGTGTACTGACGACTCTCACTGCTACAACTGAGCATGACACATCACAGCTACACCTGATTACTGACAACACTCACAGATACACCTGTAGTACTGGACAAACATCACAGCTACAACGAGCACTGGACACACCTCACTGCTACACCTGAGTTACTGACACACTCACAGCTACAACTGAGCCACTGACAACACTCACAGCTGCACCTGAGTACTGCCAACACTCTACTGCTACACGGAGTACTGACAACACTCACAGCTACAACTGAGCACTGACAACCCACTCACAGTACAACTGGTACTGGCAACACTCACTGCTGAACCTGAGTATTGGCAAACTCTCACAGCTTCGCCTGAGTACTGACACACTCACCAGCTACACCTGAGCCTGACAAACACTCACAGCTTCACCTGAGTACTGTCACACTCCACAGCTGGCACCTGAGTACTGGCAACACTCACAAGCTGCACCTGAGTAATGGCAACACTCACAGCTGCACCTGATACTGGCACACTCCCAGCTGCACCTGAGTACGGCAAACACTCTCAGCTTGCAACCTGATTACTGGCAACACTCACAGCTGCCCACCTGAGTACTGCAACAACTCACAGCTGCAACCTGAGTAACTGGCAACACTCACAGCTCGCACATGAGTAAATGGCAACACTCACAGCTGCACCTGAGTACTGGCAACACTCACAGCTACACCTGAGTACTGGCAAACACTCACAGCTGCACCTGAGTACTGGCAAACATCACAGCTCGCACCTGAGTACTGGCACTCTACAGCTCGCACCATGTGTACTGGGGGGGGACAACACTCTCAGCTACACCTGAGTAATGGCAACACTCACAGTCTGCACCTGAGTACTGGCAACACTCCACAGCTACAACCTGAGTACTGGCAACACACTCAAGCTGCACCTGAGTACTGGCAACACTCCAGCTGCACCTGAGTACTGGCAAACACTCACAGCTGCACACAACAAACTGAGTACCTCGGCAACACTCACAAGCTAAATGATTATGGCAACAGTCACAAACTGCACCTGAGTAATTGGCAACACTCACAGCTACACCTGAGTACTGGCAACAGTCACAGCTGCACCTGAGTACTGGCAACACTCACAGCTACACCTGAGTACTGGCAACACTCACAGCTGCACCTGAGTACTGGCAACACTCACAGCTGCACCTGAGTACTGACAACACTCACAGCTGCACCTGAGTACTGGCAACACTCACAGCTGCACCTGAGTACTGGCAACACTCACAGCTGGAACAATGTACACAATACGTTGTTTTAAAACCAACTTCTTCGTCTTTTCATCCTCTCTCCAACTCCGTGAATCAAGAACACAATACTGACATCCGGGCAAATGTGTTTCGTCTGAGAAAGAACAAAAGGTCACATTAACGTGGACGGAAAACAATACACAAATACCCGGGACACAGGAGAGAGAGAGGAGCTTATGACGACAGTTTGGTCCGTATTGGACCCAAATTGTCCAAGACGGACCGAAACGTCGTAAGTTTACGTCTCCTATGTGCTGGTTATTTGCGCAGAGTTTCTCTCAAATAGATCACGACGACCAGAGGCAGATCTGCTGTGAAACTAACGAAGCTTAACCATCAGGGGCCAGTAATCCCGGAGGAGCCCCAGAAGCCACTTCAGTCCACATTGTTTAAAATTTTATAGATCTTCTGTATGAGGTTTTTTTTAAATAATAATAATAACAGAGTGTACTTCAGTACAAAACAATAGTTAAAACAAAAGTTAAAAGTTTTTAATGAGTATCATATAGGGTCCTAGCCGTTGCTGGCTGCCAAGGGGCCCAGAAATGTACGTTCGTCCAAGGACTATGGAACCCGCTCAGAGCACTGGGATCTAGTGCCAGACCTTTGCCAGTGTTCGGCACTTTCTCATGACCCTGGTGTGCCACGCTCCCCACGAAATCAATACTAGACTAATTGCTTAATGCGAATCTTTATGCATACATGGTGGGTGACGTGCTCGGGGTCAGTTATGGTCACACCAAGGTATTTCTACCTGGTGTGTGTGTGTGTGTGTGTGTGTGTGTGTGTGTGTGTGTGTGTTATCAGGTGTACCTATACAGCGGTGTCAGGACACAAGCCTCGCCTTCAATGAGGTAAGACCATGGGGTAAATACGTCGAGGTAGGTCTGGGTTTTATCTCTGGCAGTGTGTGTATGTGGTTGTTAGTGGATCGTACGACACTGTGTCTGGATATGAGTGAGGTGATTGTGGGAGATGTGGTAGATGTGCGGTGTGTGGTGTGTGACTTGTGGGTTGTAGTGTGTGTGGCTGATTGGCATGTGTGGGGTGTGTGTGAGAATGGGCGAGACGGTGGTTTTGTGCTGTCCAAGTTAATGTGGGTTCTGTATTTTTGCAAACAGTTATTGTTGGAGGGACTGATTTCTTTTAGTTTGGGCTCTCTCTGTTGAACTGGTTGGCTTAGCTGGCTAGCTGGCAGAGTTTGAACTGCGCTCGGCCCCCCCCCCCGTCCTTTCGGGGTTGCAGTCTGGTGGAATCGGACTAGCTGGCTGTGGCTGTTTGGACCTCGAGATGGTTAGACTGCAGTGGAAGTGTCTGGAGTCTGTGTCCGGTCTCAGTGTCTCAATAGACTACCGTCGAGCCCTGTGCTATGCGTGGCACGCGTGGGAGCCTGTCCTGGCTCTCTCTCATTGAATCATTTGTGAGAGACTCGCTGTCCCCCAAACGTTGCTTGCGGTGATGTCCTGTGTTTGTTTCTCACCTGTATATTGCTCGCGCGCCATGCAGGCTTCACAAGTGTGCACGCTCGCTCCATCTGCAGTCCAGAATGTACTCCCGTCGCGGCCTGGTGTGTTCATACGCTGTTGCTAGTTGTAGGCCCGTTCTCTCTCCCGCTCCATGAGCTCTTATGTGTCACTATAACAACATCTGTTAGATAAAAGATGGGGTGGTTGGAGTGTGTCAGGGTCGCCATCAGCTACTGTCCATGCATACTATGGTCTCAGCTCAAC